TGAGTGCTTTTCACTCACCTCATAGTTCTAGCCGACCTGTGACAATGAGACTGTCACAGGTCGGCTCAGTAGATCGGGAGGTGAGCGAACACATACCGGGTTCGCTCGCCTCTCCATCCTGTCATGGCTCTCTGCCGTGACAGGGGGAGGGGCTGGATTCCCCTCTCCCCGCTCCGATCTGCCAGCGCTGACTGGCGGAACGGACGGGGCGGGTACAGCTGGCTCTGCCTCTAGATAGGCAGAGCCAGCTGTCACTCACGCAGCTGGGCGGATCCCGTCATCTACGTCGGGATCCGCTCCGGCTGCGGCGTCTCAGTATACTGCGAGCTGTAGCTCGCAGTATACTGAGCTTAGGGTAACGGGAGGACGCTAGTTTGTGTCCTCCCGTTACCCTAAGGAGAACTATGGGGAAAAACACTGACCCCATAGTTCTCCTTTAGGACAGGGAAAGGAGTTCTTTGCAATCCAACTCACAAAGAGCTGAATCAAAGTACCTTGCTGTTTTAGGCCCAAGAGCTGACCATTTCTATGCAAACTTAACATAGTAAAAGGTACAGCTGCTGTAGCTGGACCCAACAGATCACTCTAAAACACTGCCATAGCATAGTTTGTATATACTTACATTGTTCCAAGCTGGAACAGTGTAAATATATATAAATCATTATAGCAGGAGTTTAGCTTTAACTAACTGTAAAAGATTAGATTGGCCAATGTCCATTTACTCTAAGATCGTATAGGTTATATCTCATAACCTTACATGTTGCACATATGCAGTACTACTTACATTGTAACGATTTTTCGTTTTTGCAGAATACTCATCCTCACAGGTTGATAATGGATTGTATGTTCCTTGGAAACAATGTTTACAGCCCTTGTCTGTAAAAAAAAAAAAAAATCCTAAAAATTGTCTGAAACGTGTCATGTCTGATATATCATATATCATAACATTGGTGTCAACCCAGCTCTTATGTGGTCAAGGATGCATGTTCTCCATACCTGGCATGGTCTTAGAGATTTCCTTGGTGTTCTTCATCTGCTTGGAGGTAGGACCAGGAGGCTGAACAGTAATATTTGTCTGTAAAAAGCATGAATTTAATGTTTTGATTATCTAATAGAAGAGATATAGTGGACACGTATATAAAATATATTGCATGCAACAAAAGTAATAAGGCAAAGTATGTCCACTAGGGTTCAGGATAGATGGATAGAAGGGTTGTAACTAGAGGTGCTCCGAAATGAAAATGTCAAAACTGAAACGAAACCGAAATGAGAAAAAATGTCAGGCCGAAACCGAAAATGTTTTTTATTCTAAATTTTTCAAATTTTTTCAAATATTTTATTTTTATTTATTTTTATAAACTTTTTAATGTTTTATATTTTATTTTTATTCATTTTTATTAAATATTTTTTACTTTACTTTTAGGGGCTTCGGGGAATATTAGAGGTCTAAACAGACCCCTGATATTTCCCTTTTAAAATAGAAAAAGAGATTGAGGACAAATAGTCCTCAATCTCTTTTTCTTCAGCCCCTGTTATAAATGATCAGGAATGCCCTGTACTGAGTGTTCCTGTTCATTCATAACATTTGGATATAGTGTGTTTAGTACATCCACAATCATGCATGAACAGGAAGTGATGTAGAATACTTTCCCATTCATTAATAATTGAGGACACAATAACCATACTATGTCCTCAATTATTTACAAACACTCAGCGATCACTGACTGCTTGTACCCGCTCTCCATCCTGGATCGGCTGTCACAGGAGGCTGAGCGAGCATAGCTCAGCCTCCTGTGACAGCACTCTCCTCCTGCAGGGGAGGAGAGAAAGAACGGATGCACCGCTATTTCGGCCATAAAATGGCACTTCCTGCATTATGACAAAAGTGCCATTTTCGGCCGTTATGTTTCGACGGCCGATATATCGGTGCATCCCTAGTTGTGACCAAACTTCTGACTTGTGTAACCCCCCCCGTCAGCATACAAACCTGTACTGTGCCAGTCCTCATTTTCCAGGACTGGCACAGCTAGCTCAGTTAACTGTTTAAAAATAAATCTGGATGTATTCCTAAATGCACAGAATATTACTGGATATTGAGTTCTTATAGGTGTATTAAGCATCAGAGATGGTTGATCCAGGGAATATATGATTGTCTTATGGGATCAGAAAGGAATTTTTTTTGCCCTGTTGGAGCCAATTGAACCGTGCTTTACAGTGGGCATAGCATTCTGTTTTAGGCTTTTCTTCCTTTTTTTTCCTCTTATCTCTACAAGTTGAACTCTATGGACTTATGTCTTTTTTCAACCTGAATAACTATGTAACTAATGTAAACTGATGATTAGTTTACATCAGTTCAGGTTACGTCCGTTATTTGGGACTGACGTTGTAATACAGCATTGCAAGCTCAATGCATGCTGGGGGAAAGCAAAGAATCATGGGAATTAACCAAACTACGTACATGTTTACAACGGATGTAAACTGAACTGACAACAGATGTGCACACTGATTCAGTTTTCATTCGTTTTTTTGGATCAGAGAACCTTGACTGAACTCTCGTGTGAAAGGGGTCAGGCCAGCATTGCAGTAGCCACCTTGTGGGTTCAAAATCATGCTTGTAGAGCACAAACACTATTGCCATTAGTTGGGATCTATGAGTACATTTTGTCTATTGGACATGAATACCATACAATTAAGAACTGAAAGCGCTGACAAGGGTTGGGGACAATGTTAACACTTTCTATGAAAGTATCTACAGTAGTATCCTTTAAAATATACTGGACATTAATAAAATGAAGACAAACTGAAGGGCCTATTTTAACACTCACATTGCCCTTACATTGGGTCTCATTCACAAATTAGGAATATAAATATCCCACTTTACTAATAAAATTAGATTGGGGGAAAAATAAGGTCTTTGCCCACAAGTGTCTTAAGCTGGCCATGCTTTGTTCGAATTTGATTTGAACGTTCATTTGAAATCATTCCTCAGAGCATTTGATCTTACCATCATTGAGTCGGATAATTTAGTTTGAAAGCCAATAAAAATGTCATCCAGACTGCTACTTGAATGGAATCCCAAATGTATTAAACAGGTTTCTGTATATGACAATGTCTACATATTTCCTGAACAAAAATCACATTCACAGTTAAAATTATGTTTTTTCAGATAAGAAACATGTTCTACCCTGGTCCTTTAATCTGTCTTGTCACTGCGTTCGAACAAATGTTCAGAAAACAAACATTTTAAAACGAAATTCTAATGGAGTATGGCCAGCTCTACTCTATTTTTACCATATCATTAACTGGTATATCTGATTATATCAACACAAAAACATGAAATGACCTAAAAATGACAAACTACAATTTAGACGGATCACTCACTACCTTTTCAACATCAGCTCTTCTCCTGTCCAGTACATGCTGTCTGCGCCTTGCTTCCCAGTGATAAGCTGACATGGTGTTCAGAGTCCTGAACAAAATAACAACAAAATGATGTTGAATAGATGTTTTTGCTTCAAGTATTACCTGGTCTGCAATATGTAAAACAGCAGTGAAATCCTGACCAATCTTGTTATCCTCTATTTAGAAGCAAGTATCCAGATACATTTTCCTGATAATTACCACGAGAAGCTGGTACTTTGTTAATCATTAGAATGCCGTCTGATAGACAGTGTGCAATGGAATAAGTTTGCAGTTCATTAGTATTAGCTGCTCTCCCCTCCCTTGCCACAGGCTGATCCCTCAGAATCCTTGTCATTGACATAACAATGCAGTGTCCAAGCAACCGGATACAATCATCAAGCTTCACCAAGAGGAGGTCTGTGTGTGTTATGTGATACCAAAAGAAAGAAACTAATAGTATAGCTGAGTGTTGGACTTTAATCTTAATTTATTTATATTTTTAAAAAGTCAAGCCAAATATAAATGACATTAAAAAAATTCTGCTATCCAAGATCGACTTTCTTGCTTACACAGTACTGTGGATAAATAAGGCACAAAAAAAAATTAAAACAGTTGTGGAATAATCTCCATATTCACTACTCCCCCGCATGTTTAATTTACGCAATGTTGATATTTTTTTTTAACTTTAAGTTTTTTTTATTTAGTTTCAGTGCATATAAAGCATTGCATTTTACACTCATAGAATCAACAAGCAGATACATTAACACATATCTTATCCATCAGACTTAACAGTAAACCTGTTCGGTGAGATCGTTTTAACATTCCATCAAGTAGCAAGTATTTGCCTGTGCATTGAAGTTGAAGATAACATATGCAAAGTAAACTATAGTGTATAGTCGGTAGGTATAGAAAAACAATAAAACACAATAAAAAAAACAAACGAAAACTAAATTATTCCAGCTAAAACCAGGATCCAAGGGTACCAGTAATGAGGGTAACCAATATAACTACATACCCTATGGATAAAGGGCATATGATGGGTTATTCAGGGACGTGTATATGAGATCCAGTCTTTCCATTTAGAACAGAATTTTGAATGGGTATTTAGCCTAAAAGCTATTAACCTTTCATGTTGGCAGTTCAGTTGTACCCGTGCTATGGTTTCTTGCAAGGTAGGTGCGTAAGGCTGTTTCCAGCTGGAGGCTATAAGCTGACGGGCCGTGAAAAGGAATTGCAGGACCACCGTCCTAAGGTTATGAGGATAAATATCAACGCCTATGCTCAGTAGAGCCATTTGGGGGGACGGAGAGACCAAGATGCCGGTAAAGGAGGCAAGATAGCGGAAAATCATACCCCAATAGCTTTTAATACTTTTACAGGTCCAAAATACATGTATGATGTTGCCCACAGAGCCGCAATCTCTCCAACAAAGGGGGGAGTGCGTCGGGTAGATCTTAGATAGACGATAAGGGGTAAAATACCACCTTAACATTATTTTGAGAGAGATCTCCCAGTGGGTGACACACTTGGAACTGGTGACGTTTGCCTTGCAGGCCGAGGACCAGGCCTCCTCCCATTTGAGCTGCAGAGAAACTTAAAAGCTGCCAAATCTCTGTAGGGATTTGTATCACACGAAATTGTTCCAAGGCATGAAAATGCTTAATTTGGGCTAATCTATAGGTGTCCATAAAGGAAAGCATATTTCCAGGTGGCGGTAAAGTAAGGTAGCCCCTTTGTGCCCAGGAACCGAGGTTGAGATATGGTATTAGTAATTCATAAGCTTTCAAAGGTATGTCTACCCGGGAAGATTGTGAGCTAGCGGCACTGTTAAGGACTGAGCACCACACTTGAAATGTGGCATGTAAGGTGGGGTGAGCCAGTAAACGAAGGCTGGGTTTCATAGTTGTAGCCACTAGCCATGCCAGTAGGTCTCCTCCCGGCACCATGGAGCTCTCCAGCCCATACCATAATTTGCAGGAGTCTCTTCTCAGCCACGTTAACTACAGATTGGAGGCGGGTAAAGAAGTTGTTGGTGATAGGGATGGGGAGGGTGCGGAAATAATGTACTCCAGGAGGCTTCCCTCCCCGGGAACCAATGGCAGGCGAGGAAGATGGAAGGTGTGTACTGGGAACCTCCCCCAGCAAGGCTCACACCTGATAGCCAGATGACGCAGGAACGCTATGCTCCCGGGGATGCGCGCGCAGCCTGCGTACTGCGCATGCGCACACGCCGCGTGACTCGCGCATGCGCACCTCGGGCACTAGGTGTTCTACCGAGCTGAAGGGGAACCCGTGCCCTGCGCCGTGCCCGTGGTCCCCGAGTAGAGGTAACACCCCCTGCTTGAGGGGGGAGGACTTAACCTGTGTCGACTGTTCAATGGTCATGGTAATAGGGGCGTGATCTGACCAGGATATGTTATGAATGGAGATTTCACTAATTTTTTGAAGCAACCACTGGTCTGACAAAAATAGGTCAATTCTGGAGTAGAATTTATGTGGGGTAGAATAAAATGTATAGTCCCTCTCGCTGGGGTGCACACAGCGCCAGATATCGTATACATTTTCCCTAAGGAGCCATTTCGAGATTGATTTTTTGCGTGGAGCGGAGGATTTAGTGGTGTCAATCAGGCTGTCCGGGGTCAAGTTAAAGTCCCCGCACCAAAGTACAGAGCCCTTCTGGACTTTACGTAATTTAACCATAGACTTAAAAAAAACAATTTGTTTCGTATTAGGTACATAAACATTAATCAGCGTGTAGCATATTGAATTAAGTTCACATATCAAAACCACATAACGACCAAGGTCATCCACAAGCGAGTCTAGTAGTTTAAAAGTCACGGTATCTTTTACAGCTATAAGTTCTCTGCGCTTTTTAGTTGGAGCATTTGAGAAAAAAATATGGGGGAAGTGGTTATTGCGAAAAGGAGGTGGAGAACCCTCTTTGAAGTGGGTCTCTTGTGCACATATGATATCGCAGGAGTGCGTGGAAGCTTCTGCCCATAGGCGGTTCCTCTTGAACGGGCTATTAAGTCCCTTTGTATTCAGGGAAAGAATTTTAACACTCATGTTGTTGTAGAGTGGAGGCACATTGGTAGATAGAGTTAATGACAGTTATCGTACCTGAGACAGTCCCTCGGACATGTGGAAACCTGGGAAAGCGAGGCATATGTAGCACAGTCTTCCATCGAGAAGTGCGGAGAGAGGCGAGTCCCCATAGAGCAGTAGTGTCATCCTGGATGCTGGAGCGTAGAATAGCAAAAACCAAACAAAAAGAGAAAACAATAACAAAGAATTTAAAAAAAAAACTGTAACGCCAACGAGCGTTAATTATATCATATGGAGATAAGAACAAAGCCCATAGGGCCATAGAAGCAGCCAGATGAGCTGTGCCTTCAAGTGTGAGGCTAGGAGAGCCATAAGTTCGGCACGGGGTATCCCAAGGGTGAGTATTGCTATCTGGTGAGCACAGAGGACAGTTGAAGGAAGATCAGCCGCTGGAGACCATCAATCTGCAGAATCCGGGATTAAGCCCCACGACTTCAGCAGGGTAAGACCCGAATCAACATCCGAGATCACATGAGATTTCCCGTCGTGTGTAATAATAAGCTTGGTGGGGAATCCCCAGCGATAATTCACCCTGTTATTCCGAAGGGATTTAGTAATAGGTAGGAGCCTTTTTCGCGCCAAGATCGTGGCCTGCAAGAGGTCCCCATACACAGAGAGTTGCGAGTACGGGTCAGGTAGGGGCGATGTTGTACGGGCAAGGGTAAGTAGTTGCTCTTTAACGTGGTAGTAATGAACGTCCCTTGGTAAGTGGTCCGGCAGGAAGGTCTGTTTTGGGAGCCGGTGGGCCCTATCTACTATATATTCAAACTCCTGCAAGGGTGGTAGCAAGGACTTGAGCAAGGTTTGCACATAGGCCCGTAATTCTGGAGGGGGTATGTTCTCCGGGACCCCCCCATAATTTAACATTATTGCGCCTCGACCTGTCCTCAAGATCTGCTAGTTTCACAGAGAGCGCTCTCATAGCGGAATCATTATCTTTGTGGGCATTATGGGCTTCAGCATATTCCCCCATCTTATCCTCAATGTGGCTGACCCAATGCATTAATATCCCCCTTCAGCTGGTGAATAGCTGAGAGCATATCCCTATGCAGGGAACTCCTCAGAGAGACAAGCATGCCTTTCAGTGTAGTGTCCAGCAGAGGGCGATCAGCCGTAGGATAATCCTCAATGGCAGTGTTCAGCTCTCTGTCTGCCAGCACGTCAGGGTTACCCCTTCATCTGCCTCCTCTGGCCCTTCATGTGGGCCTCTTGTGTCCCTTCTGGGCTTGGATTTGGCCGGACTGGGGACCGGAGAGGGTCCCGAGCGCCTGTTAAGAGGGGTAGCCGCATGTGACGCCCGTTCGTGCCGGCCCTCGGAGACACGCGAGGAGGTCCCCGCTTGGTTTTGCGCTTCCCCGCCATTGTGGAGTGATACTGGGGTCAGGATCAGTCAGGGGTAGCAGAGTATGAGTCCTCTGTGCTTAAAATCCAGCCTTAGGGATTACACTGTGCCGGAGCTCTGCTACCCTGCAACCTTTCGCCTCGGCTGCTAGCCACGCCCCCCACACAATGTTGATATTTAAAGGCAGTCTGGTCCCCAAGATGGGAGGTCTTGATCAATCAACAGTTCACTAAATTAATCAAATTAAGCCGGGTCTACACTGGTGGATTTCCCTGCCAACGTTCATTCGAAAAATTTCACCAGAACATTCGATAATGCCATCAGATGCTTTGAATGTACGAATGAACATAGAATTTCGCTCAAAACTTGGTTTGGTTTTAACATTCAGTTTTGGAATGGATGAGCTTCCCCAACAAACACCAAAGTTACTGTTAGAATTTTCAATTTATGGAGTATAGGGGCCTCCACTATGGCCCCTGACTACATCAAAAGGCCACACATAATATTCAGTATATGACAGAAAGCTGTCAGAGACTTCAAACATAATAGTGGAGATGGTCAGAGACTGTGGACATGTAACAGGATGGTCGGAGACTGAAGACACAGGACTGGGGACATGCTACATGAGAATGCGAGAAATCACTGACATTACAACTTCTTTTTAAATTAATGCTGCTATTACTGACTTCTGGGGTCTGTAAACTGCCACACAGCAAGGACTGCATGTGGCTCTCATACTTCAGGCTGGGCACTAGGGGTCTAGATCCTTTGGTCCATTATGGCACTATTGAGTTTCATTGCAGCCCCTGACTCTAGAATGAGATATACAGCACAAAATATGTTCATATAACAGCATACAGAGCATAGAACATGTAGAACACAATAGATACACACATTCCCATTGCGTACAGGGTACATGGCACAAAAACTAAAGCAATAATGCCACTTCTGGTTTGGCAAGCAAACATTAGGATGTTGTTTCAATCATCATATAACCAATGCATACATTTGAGAAAGCACACTAGGAAGTTAGCCTCTGTTTGGGCTTACAGAGGGCTACAAGCAGGTGTCTTTGTGTCATACACCGGAATATGGTGCTATGCTCATAAGAAGTAAAGGCAGTGAGAACATAACACTGCAGCCGCACCATGCTTATGTACTGTATCTTTGATGAGCTGAGTGCCATATTACTGAAACTTTTTCATTGCTGTCTAGATGGTCATGTTAAACATTTGAATATATCCTCCATGTTACGGAATAAGCCTTTTAGGTCAATAACACAAGGCTCATCATATACAGATGTTTGACTGTAGCTCAGCCACAGTGCTACCTTGCCTCTCCCCATGGTTTTAATGCCTTTCTAAAAACATATTTTATGCTAAAACATTATAAAAGATTACAAAAGCCACATCATCACTGGAACTTAGTGCTCATTAGGTCTATATGCTTCATTGCAGTGTGTTAGTAAACGTGCATTAATGTCTGTTATTTTCTCGACAATGCAGACAAAATCAGACACGCACATTTTTTCCAACTATTGCTCCCCAACGCCAGTATGTGCATTAGTGCCAATGACCATTTGGAATGTACCTCAACTGCAGGTCAGCAAACTCCCATTGACTGTATTGAGCAGTACACATGAAAATTCAGAAGCAGTATTTTACCTGTTTTGTACTGCTTTTCTATTAAGATTTGTGCATCCTATTAAGATGCGCTTGAACTGCAGGCAAAACAGGTCAAACAGCCTTTTCTTGTCAAACTCTGTTTTCCATTTGAAGGCAGCTGCTTGTGTTCAAATGGAAAACGCAGCATTTAACTAGAACGCCCCTCGACATGATCCTTTACTGTGTCTATGGATTTGTTTCCGGCTGTGTCAACTTTCTGAGAAAAAAGTGGCACCTTCCAGTAAAATGTATTTAGGCAATAGAGGCACATCCCCATTTATGCCGACCATTAAGAATTTAAACTAAAAATGATTGTTTGCTTTTCCTTTATACCAGATTTTCCAAAACAAGATAATTAACAGATAGGATAAAGGTTTTACTGCAGAATAACACTGTAGTTAAATAGAACATTTTCATAAATATCTGTACATCAGACCAAAAAGAGGGCCAAATGAGGAGGAATGAGGAACAGAGGGATTTGGTTTCAACAGAGGGACAGTTGAGAGGTATGGTGTCAATGCAGTACTGATTGTGCTGAGGACATGATTCTGACTGAGTCAGTAGAGTACTGAATGTATCTAGTTGTGACTACGTTACTTTTATTTTAATTAAACCTGTAATTATGATCATGGTCACGCTAGTGTCATAATATTGTAAGCCTCTATTAATTTGCTTGGCCTAGAGGAGAGAAAAGTGTAGATCTTGCTGTGATAGATATGCCACTGTGGTAGTAGTGATGTGTAGAATATTCACCTGGTTACATACTGTGGATTTTCCCTTTTAAAATCCATTTACAGTGTTATTACCGCATCATCCATACAAGTATTGTAGTAGACATGTTAATTCTGGTGTCCAGGCCTTGTCTAAACCGAATGGCATCCACTCCAGACCAACAGTGACGGCGTGAGACTTTAAAAAAGGAAGGTTAGTAATCTGACTGAAGCCTAAACAAACTGGTGCTCGAACCCAACATCGGAGAAAGCTAGTCTTCATTTCCACTCACTCCTTGTATTATAAACAAACCATCATTTGAATTATATTGCCTCAACAAAATGTTTTAAGGTACACTGGTGTTCGTGGCTGCTCACCTAGTGGCATTTCTAGTTTCAGGCACCTGGGCGACTTGCCTTATATGTCTTACTGGTTGCCCCGGATCCCATCTGTGAATTTTTTTCCCCCATGTTCCTTGTGCGTTTTGTAAAGTAGCCACCGCACCAAGCTTGTTCCCTTGATGTACTACAATCTCAATTTAAATGGGTAAACTAAACGTGAGATTGTAGTCCATCACATTAGTGAGCTTGGAGCAGTGGCCACTTTACAAAAAACACAGGAACCGAACGAGAACTGAGACATGTAATCACAGATGAGGAATGGAATAAGATTTTTTTTTTAACTTTTAAATCAAGCATCTCCGTCTTGATTCAGGAGAGAAACTTTAAAGTATTAACGAGATGATATAGATGTCCATTAAATCTATATAAGATGAACCCTAAAAATTCCAAGCTGTCTTGGAGGTGTACTAGGGAAGAGGGGACGATATTGCATATATGGTGGTCTTGCCAGTTGATAAGAACGTACTGGAAATCGATCTTGGAGATTGCACAACAGCTAACTCGGCTATATAGATTAGAGACACCTGAGGTTGCTTTGTTGTCAGCTCACCATGGTCCAATTTCAGTATTGAGAAAAGGACTATTGGGTTTGATACTGGCAGCTGCAAGGGCAGTAATACCAAGGCATTGGAAGTCAACTAGCATCAACCAGGTCTCAGAATGGGTAGTGGAACTAAACAACGTTATGCGACTTGAAGAGCTCACAGCCAGCTTACATGATAGACATATGCCGTTTTTGGAGAGGTGGAGCCCATGGAGGGATTATCTCGGCTCACCAGAAATCCTTAGATATCTATAGGGGACACCGGTAAAGAAGAAAGTATTAAGATTCTGATCCGTCAAGTAAATTCTTAATGATTAGTAGACATGTGCACCAGCCAAAAATTTGTTTCGTTTCGATTCGGATTTTGCGTTATTTCGTCTTCCGGGTTTGAAAATCAATTTGTTTCGGAATTCGGACGAAATTTGTTAGCGGTAGTCTGTACTGACGATCGTTTAGTTTTCATTTTGGTCGGTCGTTCGTTGCAGCAAAGTGACATTCGAGGGGAAAAAACATTTTTTTCCTCAAATGACATTTTGCTGCAACGAACCGTGGTCCAACAAACGAAATTTTGTCCAGACTACCGCTAACGAATTTCAGAAACGGAAATTCGGATTTGTTT